TGGGCTCACAACCATCAATAAAAGAACAGTCTCCTAAAGAGCCTACACAGATGAGGAGTCCAGGAGCTTAACCTTCAATAGCTTAAACAACGTTGTTCTTACAACATATATTACACATTAGAAAACATATGTCTTGCCTACTTTTGATTTGTAAAGCTATATTACAATAATAGATTTATAAGAAAAAACAATTATAGTGAAAACCACTTGCATCAAGTGTCCACTAGTAGGCCCTGGAGGTCCAAGACTGTGTGCTCTGGCTTATCATACTTCCTCCTGTGTTCACTCTGAGGGAACACACTGTTAGTGTGGGGATTTAGCATAGAGCCCTGCATAGACCATGCAAATAATTTACCCTGGAACTGCATCCTCAGCTTCAAACTAAAGTGTTATTAAAGAAATAAAACAACTCGAACTTAACAATGTAGAGCACCCTTTTTGAGTATGCACGTTTCTGCCCTGATCTTACAAATGTCCTCAAATGTAAAAGTGCTTTTAAGACCCAATTTTATTGTGGGGAGATAACCATTACTAAAACAACTGGGGTCACTATGTGGTGTGCTGGAGATGCCTTTGCTTGTCCTAAGCTGACCTCATGGACAATGCAGCCTCAGCTCTTTTTCTTCTACTGGGATCCAGTAGTCCTGACTGTCTTATCCCCATTTTCAAGACAGTGATGAGTGAAAGAGAGAAAGATTAGAGCTTTTTCTTTTCGACTTATTTCCTGAGAACTGGTCTGTTAAGTGAGCTATGGTGTGGAGTTGTCTTTTCAACATAAACACAGAAGCACAGCCCAGCCTTCTCACATCTGGCTTTAGTAACTCACTGTCGACTGTTGGTATAGTCTAGATTAGTATTTCTCTAAATGCAGTTATCACCAGTGTTTCTTCTGAGATAATCAACACAGATCTAAGTACTTGGAATCCTACAGTTAAGTGGTGGGTGTCTGGATTGCAGGGCATTTTTGTAAATTTTCTCCATTGTGAAGATCTAAGTTTGTGAACATGGTTTCATATCACCATATTGAAAGCACAGTGTATGTACTCTGTCCTCATTTCATTTCCCTTGGAGACCAATTTCTATTCTTTCCTACAGAGCTAAACTAAAGCCACACAGCATTACCCAGCACCATGCCTACATACTGGCTAGTTGGAAATAAAATGGCATCTTCTGGAACTATTCAGTATAGGTATTGCAGGTGGTGATGCCTTCTTTGGGGAGATGAGCAAAGAACTAGGAGAGACCGTTGATGGTCTTGAAGTTGCAAATGGAGTCTGCTGATATTTTCACACTGAAGATGGACCAGCAGGCTAAAATAGTGAACCATTAGTCATGTAAATATGAACTCTAGAAATACCATGCTTAAGGAGGAAAAAAAAGTGAAAGAGTAACTCAAACTGCATGGTAGGATGAAATCCCCAGAGAACTTTTTAAGAATCTTCTGAAGGTAGAGACTGCAGAGCATAAATTCCATCCATAATTGCAACCCAAAGACCCAGAAAGCAGGTGTTTTCCATCAATACGTCTATCAGGAATGTGTCTAGAGTTCTCCAATCAGCTACACTAAGTAGCCCTTAGAGTCTGAACTTTCAGCTTACCAGAAAAGCTTGCAGCTGGCAGCTTCATCAGCTCATCCATCCTCCCTTACATGTGCCCTGTTCCATTCTCCTGGGATGGTACCACTCACAGAAGTCGTTAGTAATGATCAATCTCCTGTGCAAAGTCTCTCATCTATTCCCAAGAGCAAAGGATTTGCAACACCACCTCTCTTTAATCTGCGGTGAGCTTAAAATTAAATGAGAAAATTTGCCATCATAATTTTTATTAAGTGTCATTTCCCCATTAATACTCAAGGCCTTAGATGATTTTCTCAGTGTGACATCTTCCAAAATCATAGATCTGAACGTGAAAGTACATATATTTATTACTCGTTTTATAACTGCAAGGACTTCCTTGTTCTGTACAGCATGGAAATGCTGTAATGTTGTGCCTTCATAAAGATAATATGAGCAATTAATTTCTAAAGGGTGCATCATATGGTGTCAGCATCTGATACCAGTAAACCCTTATATATTTAAAAGTACGAATACTGGTGGAAATCTGATCATTTTTTTTTAAAGTTTTACCTTACTTTTCATTCAAAATGTGCATGACAACAATTTTAAAAGTGTTGACACGAAAGACCAAGACAGCACATTGGGGATGCTCTCTGAGGGACATGCCCCTTCAAAATCGCATCATGAACATTAGACAAAGATGAGTCAACCTCATTAGCTCCAGACTGCCTGTTTCCTTCACGGACACTGACTTGAACCTGAGGAAAGCAAGTCTCCCTTATCGAGACCTCCAGACATTTGTAGGAGGAAAGGACTTGAGGGGAGTGTGTTAAAAGAAGGGCACCTGTCTTAAGAGGGTTGTACCTAGTGTTTGCTGGAAGACTACTTACCGACCTCACAGACATAATCTTAATTCTTCCATATCTCTAGGTCCCGAATGATGCTTCATTTAAAAGCACTCTCAGGTAGAAAATGTCACACAGTGCTGTTAGAGACCCAAATTATTCTTTGAATTCCTGGATATGTGGCCCTTCTTACATTTTTACCAAAAAATGCCAAAGCCTTAGGGCTGATTCTTGGGCAGATTTAGTTTATGAGCAGAGTGTGGCTGCCCAGTCTCAGAATCCCAGCACTTACCAGGAGGAGGTAAGGAGGTAGGAAGGAAGTCAAGGCTTGAGAGCCACACTACAAGTATGAAGCTGAACTGAGCTACAAATAAATAAATAAATAAATACTGCAAAAAATTAAAAACAAACACTTTCAAGACTCTAGTTGAATGAAATTAGAATAAAATAATGAGTTGACAATATTTTGCCATACTTCTTAAATGATTTGTTTGTAGAAAGTCAAGAAATTTTCTTTGCCTCTTTTAAACATGGTATTAGCCCTTACCCTCTACAGTTCAGAGTAAGTTTAATAATGGGCCAATGACAGCTTGGTGGGGCATGGTAACTCAACTGCATTATAGACAAGGCTTCTTTTTCATGTTTACAGTGACAACTATGCTTTAAGTACCATGAGCATTGTTCTAAGTATTGCGTACTATTTACTATCTGTCTCTCTGTCTGTCTGTCTGTCTGTCTGTCTGTCTGACTGTCTATCTATCTATCTATCTGTCTGTCTATCTATCTATATCATCTATTATCTATGTATCTATATCATGGACATTGTTGTAAGTACTGAGCACTATCTATTTATTATCTTCCTATCATCTATTATCTATGTATCTGTCTATGTATATATGTATCTATAATCTATCTGTCATCTACCTATATAATCTATCTACTTACATGTTATTGTAGTCATAGTCTTGCATAGTTTTGCATGAGAGTGACTAACCAATCTTATGTAGTGAATGTCTTTATTTCTAATAATCCTGATTCCCTTCTGTATTCTCAGCCTCGCGATGACATCAGTGAAGTTTCGCTGATGCTTGTTCTTGGTTTGATCTCTCTGTTGTCATGCTAGGGAATGGGTCCCCACTTTCGTCATCTGCATCTCATTTCCAGACGGTCCATGGCAATTTACATTTTTTTAGTATAATAACTAAATTTTATTCATCCAGGTTGTAAGGGAGGTAGAGATTTGCAATTAACTTGCTTTTATCTTTGTTTGATTGCCTTCCTACCATTTGCATTTTTATTTATGTCAAATATGGTTTCTTTTGTCTTTTCTCAGGACATTCAGCCCTTTGGGTTCAACTCTTGAATAGCTAAGAGGAAGGGCCTTATAAATCTTAATTAGTTAGCATTATGTGAAGGTTCTTTGAAGTGCCTGGTGTTACTTTAGGAGGAAGGAATTCAGTGAAGGATGGGGCTGTAGGAGAATAAAGTGGGCTGGAGTTGGAATGAATGCAAACCTTCAAGACTCAACCCTGTCTGAAATCAGCCACTTGTAGCTGATCCTTTGGGGTTGCATTGTTTATCATTCTCAAGGCTATGACACATCAAATATTAACAAAAAATGAAAAGGAACATCTGAATTAGTTACAGGAGGCTGGGAGGGGGTTAGGGTAGGGATGTGAAGCTGCTCACTCAGTGCTAAGTTACAGGTAATCAGAGTGACTGTGACAGACAGTGTAACGACTATGACAGAGTGTGACAGTGACTACAGTAGACAGAGAGGACAGAGTGACTGACAGTGACTGTGACAGGTAGAGTGAATACCGCAGAAAGAGTAACTATGGGTGACACAAAAGTCCTGCATGTTTCAAACAGCCTTTGAGAAAAACATATGTCACAAATGCATAATAAATTTTAAAAAGACAGAAACTTAAGCAGTTTACAAATGCATATATGTACTAAGATTTTGCAATGCATTCCACAAATAAGCACAGCCAAATAGAGTCAGTGTGATGACCCAAAGTGTGATGATTGCAAGTAGAAAACATTGTCAATGAAATTTCCCCATTTTTTTTTTGAAAAGGAACAAAATTCTTAAAGGCAATTTAGGGAAAATATAAATATTATTTAAAGTATTTATGTGCTTGCTATTCTAAAATTAAATATGATTGAGGTAACTAGGAAAAAAACCTAAGTGATGAAGTGAGATAAATTTTAATTCTAAATAACATGATTATTAAATTATTATTACATTAAGATCTTTCTAACATTATTTGAATCTTTTAATCCTTACAAACAAGAGAGAACGTCCTATGATTTGTCCTTGCATATATTACTCTAAATCACAAGATTATATATGTGTTACTATGCCTTTGAATCATGTTTTTATTTTTGTAAAGCAAAGGCCACTTTGGAACAAGAGTTCCAAACAATTGAATTATAATCCCAAGGGTGTGCGTGGACAGGCTGTCAACATGAATTTCACCATCTTGGCCTTTGCTGCTTAGTAAGATTGTAGCCATGCTGATGGGTCCCAGCCCCCAGTGACAGGAGAGAACCCAGGGTCTGCACTTCTTTTTTCCCTTAACCCTTTCCTCCCCAGATATTGACCAGTGGAACAAAGTCATCGAGCAGCTAGGAACTCCGTGTCCAGAATTCATGAAGAAATTGCAGCCTACAGTCAGAAACTACGTGGAGAATCGGCCCAAGTATGCAGGACTCACCTTCCCCAAGCTCTTTCCAGATTCCCTCTTCCCAGCCGACTCTGAGCACAATAAACTCAAAGGTGAGTGCCGGACACAGCAGATATATGCAAGAAGAGGTGTTTCTGGCAATAATCTTCTTTGGTAAACTGTTTATCAGAGTTATTTAGAGTCTTGAAACCATTGTTTGAAATGTGAGTTTAAAAAGTCAGTATACTCTACTTTGAAAAATGTCTTTAATCCTCTTTTAGTTCCTAGAAAATACTTTTCACATAGATTTTCATTTGTAAAGTCTTGTAGACTTAGGTGCTTTAGGTCCTTGTATTTTTCTGGCGTGTCTTAGCACCATTTCCAGTTACAGAGTAATAAATTAGATGTTACCTAATTTCTTTCTATTCAAATCTTGTCCCCTCTTCCTAAACTGGGACTCTGCCTCCCTGCTTTCATGTGCTACTGGACAACCAGCTAACTTTACCTAGTTTTTAAAAACTGATGGTAAAGAATTTGGGGGAAGTTTAATTTACTTAATATTTTGCTAAGAATTTTCAACAGCATCTGGAATAAAACATACTATTAAAATATTTACTTTATTATTAAAAAAAAAACCCAGCAAGGTTAGTTCAAGCTTGTGGGGGTGTGCCTCAAGTATGTAGAGCAGTCAATTACCTATCAGGCTTAATTTATAGGCTTAATTTAAATAAACAAGATAAACATCAATGTGACAAGGAAATTAAAATGATGTGTTTTGTTGTTTGAGATGTAGTCATCACCTCCAAATTTATTCATAAAGAATTTAAGATTTATATCATAGTGCTATATAGTCTCTGAGAGGCATTCCCATAGCTGTCAACACTTCCTGTACAAAGAGGGAAACATCTAAAGGATATCTTAGTATGATTATCAACATGATAATCATGATAGTAGGTATCTTAGTACTGTTCCATTGCTGTAAAGAGACACCATGACCAAAAATAAAAAAAATAAAAAAAAAATCATTTAATTGGGGCAGCCTAACAGTTTTAGAGTCAGTCCCTTGTCATCATGGCAGAAAGCGTGGTGGTATGCAGACAGACATGGTGCTGGAGGAGTAGGTGAGAGTTATACATTTTGATTCCCAGGCAGCAGGAAGAGAAACGTCCATGGTTCTGGCTTGATGTTTTGGAACAGTCAAAGCTCCACCGCCTACTTCCTCCAACAAAGCTACACCTTCTAATCCTTCTCAAGTAGAGCCACTCCCTGATGAGCATTCAAATATATGGGCCTATGGGAGACTTTCTTCATCAAACTACCACAGTAGACAAAATAATCCTGTGAAGACACTGATAGTATAACACTGTGGAGACAGCAAAACCCTCACTGAACTATTTAATAGAAGTGAAAATGCTTGCAGGCAAACTGCTGGAAGACATTGCTACCTGGAAGTGGTTGCAGTCTACCATAGCCTGGCAGCTTTCTTTACACTTGGCAATGTGGGAACTCCCACACTCTCCAGTGAGGCTTTCTGCTCGCTACCCAGCCTTGTATGGAGGATGTCTCTAGGCCTAGGATGACCGGACTTATCTCAAGGGCACAATTACCTGCAAATGCTCTTCCCCTGATGATCCACATGGTAATTAGGCAAGTGCTCTAGGACTTTGATAGGACTCTACTGCCACATACCAAGCCTTGTGATAGGAGAGCAACCTTTAATGCAAATAGAGTTTATTCCCAGGTTCCCCAGTCCTACATATTCCTTATACTCTGGAATGAAGTTGAGCTGATTCACTGAAGTCTATCTCCTGGAGGGCTGTCTTCATTCATGCTCATGGGCTGTGTGCAGAACCTTCTGTAGCCACTACTGCCTCTTGCCCTTTCGACCTGGTGGCCAAAAGGCTAGGAGGGAAAGAGAACACCCCCCCCACAACAAACTATTAACAATAACATGCTTTGTGATGTAAATCTAACTTTCTAGGGTTTAGTTATACTATTTTTTTTGTAAATTATTAGTTATTTAACATAGTTGTGATTCTAATAGAAGACCAGCAACACTAATGAATTGTCACAAAATGCAAACAATCAACAGAAAAGTTCGTTCTGAGTCTAGGAAAGCAGCATGTTTGGCTGAAAGTTGAAAGCCGTGGCACTAAAAATATTTCTCTCCTTGTTTGCTACATATGGTACCGACAGTGGCTCCTAGTAGATGATCTGGTGTTGGCAAAGGCCATTCCCTTTTCATCAAAGAGCCATTCTGTCCCATGCCCTCTCTAAGAACAGAAATACAGATGGTCTGTAGAGCAGACTATGGATGCAGGGTACATGAATCTGAGGATAAAATCAGCTACAGATCAAAAGAACCTTTTAACAAAAGAAATAAACAACCCTGTCAGGCTGCTAGAACACTGGTCATAAAATCATCTTAAATTTTGAGTTAGTGTGTACTTTGTTCATTTTGGGTATTCTTGTTTTATTTGAAACTTCAAAGTTTTATTTGAAAAGAATGCTAATCAATTAAGAAAATTGCATTTATTGGAAAAAATTACCATAGACATAAAATATCCTTTCATGAATAAACTTTCATAGTAATATAAAACATTATAAGCACAAGAAAAAAATCACAGATATAGTGAGAATAGTTTCCTAGATCTCAGCTGTTGTATTAGAAAAATTAAGTGAAAATGAATGTCAGACAGTTGAATCATATCCAAAAGTGGATGTGGGAAAAGAAAAGCCACCAATAATCAATCACAGTGACGGCCTGTGACAATAATTGATATTTCTCAACTTTTATTTAAGTTATTTATTTAATTATGTTATTGCTAAATTCTCAACAACTAACCCAGTTGCCTTAATCTGAACATTTAATAACAATTGATGCTTGTACATATTTTAAAAATTAATAAAAATGTCTTCTTGTAAACATGTTGCTGTCAACATTTTATTATACTACAAACGAACTCTTGAATCTGTAACAGAATGCATCTGCTGCCTTTAAAAGGGGAATAAAAACACTGAACTTCTAAGTTTGTGAATATACAAACAGGTCCCTAATTCTGACATTTTTCCTGTACATTAGCATATTTAGTTCTAATTTTTGATATTAGCTACTCTTAGGCACTCTCATTAATTAGAAATATTTCAAGTTGCAAAGCCAATCGAGGCTTTGCTATGTTCAATTGGAAATTTTAACAATATATTTGGAGCATACTGAGTAATTTTACTGTTAAAACTGTGAGACCATTTGAATAATAATAATAGTGGTTTAGGATATTATTAAGATAATTTTATCATACTGCTCATTCTTGTTAAGAAATGACTTTGTTTAACATTTCACATGCTTTAGAGACTAAAAATCAATGTGGCTTCGGGGCCAAATCTTCAGCTTCGGCGAGGAGGCAAGGAAGGGATTGTTTGCAAGTACATGGACTTGGGTTTGATTCCCAGGACCCATGTAATAAAAATGGAGGGCTGTGCACGTGCTTGTCATCCCAGTGTTGAGGAGGTGGAAGCAGCCAGTCCGATGGCCTAACTGATGAAGTTCCAGGCTTGTCTCAAAAGAAGAAACAAAAAATTCATGGTGTTTGAAGAGTGGTGCCCGAGGTTGTGCTCTGACTTTCGAAGACTGTACACACAGGGTCACCCAGAAACACAAAAATCCACATAGTGGATACATAGTGCTAGTGAACAAATATGCTAGCTGATTGTCTCGTGTGTGTCATCTGCTCCAACCAACAATTCGCCATGCCACCTTGTTCACGATATGGAGATTTTCATTACCATCAGCCATGGCCTGGGACTTCCTTTAGCCACTAGCCACCTGATTCCACCAAACCATGATTCCAGCCATTTAAATGGCTGATGAACATAGATAGAATGCTACCACAAAATTCAGCAGTTAAATGAGGTGTTTTTTTTTTTGTTGTTGTTGTTTTGTTTTTTTGTTTTTTTTTTTTTTTAAATCACAGTCACTCTCCAGATTGTTTTTAAGGAATCTAAGAAATCTGGACAACATTGGTTGGCAAGTCAGTGTGAATTCTACTAATTCTGCCGCTCCTACTTGGTGTATGAGAACGTGAAAGCACACAGATTGACCTCTTACAGCCACCCCTGTATCCAAATTGCGTGTTTCTGCAGAAGCATCATGCACTCTGCATTTCCCGGCCCCTTATCCCACCCCCTAGCGTCCTTACAGATTACCCACCAAAATTTCTTTATTTATTCAAACTTCATAGCTAATAAATTCTATTTATAATTCTGAGTGAATAACCATACTCAATATTCACAGCATATAACCCTCTAAGAGCTCTCAAAATGATCTTAGACTTTGAGATGAAACAAACAAACAAACAAACAGAAGCTGCATTTCTTTTATACCCACAAGGAATTTCCTGGTGACTAGAAGGAGGCTGCTTCCGTTTTTTAGTTTCCCAAATAGAAATCTTAGGAATCACTTTTCGCATTTGTCATTTCAGCCAGCCAAGCCAGGGACTTGTTGTCAAAGATGCTAGTGATCGACCCGGCTAAGAGGATATCGGTGGATGACGCTTTGCAGCATCCGTACATCAACGTTTGGTACGACCCAGCTGAAGTGGAGGCGGTAAGACACCATCATAAATCACCCACAGCGAGCAGTGAAAACAGTACAACTCACCCCAAATGAGCCCACACAGGCCTTTTATAATGTCCACGGTGAAGACCATTACCTGATCCCCTGCCGCTTGTTTTCTCCAATTTTAAGTTTACTCCTTCCCAAGACTTCCTGTGAACGGGGATGGTTTAACCGCCAGGCTCTGTGGCGGCTGCAAAGGGGAAGAATGCACAGTGATGGGGATGCTACCTTGCCTCTGTTTCCTTTACCGTGCATCCACATTGGGGTCATGTGGTGCTGAAGGTCCTTTCTGTTAGGAAGCTTTTCCTAGGACACTAGTGACTTTGCAACCACACGAACAAGATGTAAAATAGACATTTCAAACAGGTCCTTATTTTTTTATGTTGATTATAAATAACACTGTGCTACGCTTCTGGTCTTAGACCTACATGAGATTTATAAATCTTAGAAACTTAACTATTTTAAAAATCTTTTCAACCACCTCCTAACTTCTTTGTGAGCTCATTTATATTTTACCTCTGTTTCTCTATCAGCAACATTGGCATTTCCTGAAAATGATAACACATCCTTAAAGTATTTGAACACTGATGCTAAGTTACATCACCAGTGTAATACCTTTGTAGTTGAATTTTCTCAGAGTCATCTAACCTTCACTGTGACCTATCCAATTCATTTAACTGTCTCTGTATCCTAATGCATTCTTACTTAAAGACAGGCTGGCTTTTGTTTGCTGGAGCCACTGGTGCTCAATTTAACTCTACTCACACCTTATTTCTTCCTTTACGTGAGAAGCAACTGTTTAGCGTTCACAAGTTTCCAGGAAACTCAAGCCCTGTCTCCCCCAACAACAAAAAGGGGGCTTCATCATCTTGTGTGATGTTTTCCTAAATTTTGTTTATGTGAGCATTTTTACCATGATATTGGTGTCTCAATTTGTTTCAGATTTATTTTAGTAACTTGGCTTGATTCTTACAAAGTACAATCCTTCTAATGAACTACATTTGAGTCCCTAATATTCTTAAGACTCAAATATAGAAGTCTTTCATATTTCATAAAAATCTTTATAGATATTCGCAGTGTGGAATGAAGTAAGAAAGAAGAGAGATGAGCACATGATTACTTATACTTAAAATTAGGTAGTATGAATTTTTTCTGATGAAATTTAAGAAACTGTTTCAGGTAGCTTTGTAAAAATGTTAGCTAAACATAAATTATTTGACATGGCTAATCACTTATTGTGAAAGTTCTAAACACATGGCATGTTTATTTTTCCTTACAACTGATTTCATGTGCTTAATCTGTTTTTAATGGAACATGGCCTCTAGTTTAATTGGAGTCATAAAGTCTGCATTTGTAAATCGCTTGCAATTATGGTGTCCATAAAAGAAAGTTACTTAGAATCTATAACAGAACATTAAAATAATACCAATGAATTTTTAAGTCTATTCCAACATTTCATCCTTTGTAGGATGAAAAAAATATACCTAGACTTTTTCTCAATATAGTCATCACAGGACTTAGATAGTAACAAGATAAGACAGACAAATTTTAAGGATCCAGTATAGCCTGAGGATTTAGTAGAGGAACCAGCTAAGACAGAGAAGAACAAGCAAGTGTTTGACATCAAAACTGAGGTTCCTAGCTGCATAACTATAAAACTGTCTTCCATCTACAAATGTTTCAGTGAATCCTGACCCAAGGGTGAGAGTAGTTTATTACTCTCTGAAGTGTATTGTACAGGTCACAACTAGCAAGAAACAAATCCTAAGAGTGCTAGAAGAACAGTTAGCCATGCTTTCACACATAAGAATAACATCATTCTAGTAAGATGAGACCATGCATTTAAAATAAAGTGGCAATTCTTTACAGATGTGTATCAACAAAATGATGTCTTATGCTAGGGCTGGAAGGCTGCAAGAGAAACTTAGATGTGTCTTGATAATCCAGATAAATGGAGTATCAAATATAATTTCAATTGATAGGAATTGTGAAGGAGTGCCAAGCTCAAATAGCTTCCAAGCAGCACACATGGCATTAGGGAAAGAAAGACATTTAAAGATGAACAGAAAGAAAACCATGATTCACTGTGCAGACAAGTAGGCAAGGTACACTGGACACAAGATGAAAGGCAATGAGAAGACATTGTTACTGGGGAGTAGAGGAAAGGAGTCAGCAAAACCTGTATGTAAGGAGTAAGGTTTTTCCCCATGCCGATCTGGACCCACCGCAGCACCAGCCCCAAATAACACACACAGACTCTGTATTAGATATAATTCTGTTGGCCAGTTACTTGTTTCTTATCTGCTAGCTCTGTCTTAATTATTAACCCATTTCTATTAATCTAAGTATTTCCATGTGGTCTCATCTTAACCAGAGAGTAGGGCTGGCGTTCACTCTCTCCCATCACCACATGCTGACCACTTCACTACTTCCTCTTTCCTCCTAGTCTCCTAGTCCCGCCTCCCTTGCTTTCCTATTGGCCAACAGTGCTTTATTCATTAACCAGTATGAGAAAAAATATTTACAGAATAACATCTACCATCACCTGTATGAAAGGAAAGAGGAATCAAAGACACAGTGGTTCTGGAAAAACAAAGAAATAAAGCATTAAGTGCACCAGCCCATTGGTCAGGATATAAGATACCCCACATTTCCAATAACTGCCCAAATGCAAAAATCAAAAAGGAAAACAATAGAAATATTTTGCCACTCTCTGAGTAAACATTAAACATCTTCATATGAGGTTGTCAGTTGTAAATTTTGCAAGTCAATAGCACACCTGTCTAGTGTAGCAGTATAGTTGGAAGTGCCCATTGTGGGGATTATTATTTCTCGAATAGCAACTGACAAAAGCTCATAGACAACAAAGAGCTAAAAGATCGTACTTACGTTAATGTATGTTTGGTATTTGGTGTTTCTAAAAGATTTATCTATTTTTATATTATGTCTATGAACATTAATTCTGCCTACATGTTTGCCTGTGGACCATGTGCATGCAGTGCCCATGGCAGCCAGAAGAGGGCAGTGGGACATCTGGAACTGGAGATGGGTTTGAGCCATCCTGTGGGTGCTAGCTATTGAACCCCAGGACTCTGCATGAATAACAAGTACTGCTATCCTCTGAACCATCTTTCTAGACCCATTTTTGAAAGCTGTTCTAAATCTCTCCTGACACATTAAGAGACAGACACATAAATTACACATTGATGCACAAAGTGCATGTTTTTCCATTGCCCTTGTGATCTGGGAAATGCTTCCTGTTGAAATTCCTACATTGTTCTTTGCTATTGGCATCAGTCTTCATTTGCTCTTAGCACAGTCTTCTTCATTAGTGAAGTTTTCTGCTGTGTCTACCTCTGTCAGAGGGCTCTGAGAGTTGTAAAGTGTTCTGGTTGCCATCGCTATTTCTATGATAATGCTTATATTCAATGCTTTGCCATCTTTTGGTACTAAACAAAATAAAAGGCGCAAAAGAACAAAACAACTTCCCTACCATCACTGTTCTGGGTAGGTTTCTGCTCAGTCAACTAATAGAAATTTTTATTGAATTGAAATATTCAATAACTATTATCTGCTGAAGACAGCATTACAAACGTGGGTTATCTATCTTACTTGCTTACTACTTGTTTAGTGTGTGACTCCCAAGTGAGAGCAGGACCTGTAGCCACTGCCCCTCATAAATGTCAGTCTTCTAACCCTCAACCAGACATGTCCCAGTCACTGCATTGTGACAATCCCGCTGTACGCACCACTCTCCAGCTGTGACTCATAAACAGACATTTGACTCTGGGTACAAAGCAGCAACCAGACCAGATGTTAGAAGCTGAAATGTATGTAAGTAGTTCAGCAATCCTAAAGCTGTGCTGCCAAGGACTAGAAGTGTAACTTTAAGACTCACCTGTAATTACACTGACTATGTCCGTCCTTCAAAGTTCACGTAGTTGAGGATGGTGGTAGGAAATTATTCTCATTCATCATCATTGCTTACTTTTAATTCCTTGGATATACTTCAGAGTAAATGCTAACATGATTTTATTATGAACAACATTTTTATTTTTGCAGTATTAACACTACTTGGTGAATGATTTATGTATGATTTCTACATTTACTTGCTATGATTTACTTACTATAACATTGTAAACAAAAGTCTTTAAAATATATACAGTAATAAAGATTTTTTTGCTCTATCCTGCTCAGCTCAATGTGCATAATCTTGGGACTGGCGAGGAAAATCTGAGCCACAAGATGAAGGAGTCAACATCTTTAATATTCAGACAACTCATCAGAAGTTGTTCACTTCTTGGAGTTCTTGGAGATACACCACTGAATGAAATATATATATATATATATATATATATATATATATATATATATATATATATGCTTTCATCAAGTATTTTATGATCTTTGCATTAAACTAGCGAGTCTGAGTTTAGCACAGAGTGTTAAACATTAAATATCTGGAAGGAGAGGATTTAAACAAGTTATAAAAAATGTAAACATCTCCCTGTACAGAAAGACTCTCCCTCTGGGAGGAAGGGATTGATGTCTGTGTAGCTGGCATTTCCACTGGTGAGCAACATCAGAAAGTCAAAGCATATCTTTAAGATGGTTTCTGAATGATTAATCTAACTAAATTCAGAAGCTACCATTCCCTTTTAACGATTTCTGCCTCAGAATGCAGGCATGCACTTAAAATAGTGATAAATATCATTTGTATTTTCTATCTGTGTGCCTGGGAGGAAAGCAATTGCATCTGAAGTTTATAACACACAGTTTACTCGCAACTCCCTAACACCAATCAATATTCAGTGAGCATAAACCACAGGGCTTCAGCTCTTTAAGGAATGTATGGATACTTTTCACAATTTTCATTAAAGAAAAAAAGTCCCCATTTTATCAAAATAAAAAAGAGAATTAGTTTCTATTTATGTTGGTATAAAAATGCCTTTGCTATTTCACTAGAAGACTGCCCAGTGTCTCTCCCT